ATAAGAACTTTTAAGGTTAGTGTTGAATAATCACGAGTTAAGTGAAGAAAACAAATAACGAAAGGAGAGAGTTGTAGCTAATCTTATAATCAAACAAAATTTCCTAAATAGAATTTTGATTTCTAAATATTTTAGCTTTCACACCAAATAAGAATCGAATTGAATTGGGTTATTCAATAAAAAAAAATTGAAACACACCCTAAAGTATGTCCGTAGATGATTAATCACTTCTGATCAAATATATTTTGAAGCCACACATTTTATAAGATCTATAGCTAATACTCATTTATTATCTACACATTACATAAGATCTACACATTTAATTAGTTGGATTAATTCTAACCCTTGAGCCTACCATCAATCTTCCTATTCTTACACGTAATTGAAAAAGTTGTTTTGTTACGACTTTTGCAAAAATGAGGTGGGTATGTGAGAGCAACTGCTCCATTATTCTAATTTAAATAGTTTAAAATCACTTTCCAAATATGCTTTTAAGGTATATATATATTTGAAATGGTCAGAAAGATTGAGCAAATGACAAAAAGTCCGCCGCAGTCGGTGTTGGGTATATATCCTAACATGGTTTTCATTCCTTTTCTAACTCATTCATGAAAAATAGAATTGGTTCATTTTGACTAAATGAAATTCAGATAAACAATTGAATATCAGTTTTATTAATATAAAGAATAAATAAAGTACAACTTCAGAGGGAAGTCTGCCTTCTAAAACAATAAGCTTACGAAGAATGATAGAATCAAGAACTAGATTTTGTGCTCGACTTATGCTTCGTGTAATTAGTTAGATTTGGTAGGTCTGCAATAGTTGTTATGAACTAGTCTACGATGTTCACAGTGTCTAATCACATTCTAGAGCTGGATAGTCCACAGGTCATTCATTTTCCTATGGATATATCCAAAAGCATCCCTAGCGTAATCATGTACAGATTGGAATGCATCGCCTGTGTCTCGAAACCGTAATTTGTATTTGATGCTGGCAGAGATAGAGCCTTGGTGCTCAATCTATTAGAAGCAGAAGGAGGAGTCACTGTTTACAGTTCTAGAACCGACTGCTGAACCTGTACAGTCGATGTCAGTTTCAATTATGCTCGTAATTGGATCTTTCGTTTTGCTGGATCATTTCTTTGAACGTTATGTATATAATATGGGGGTGTTGGGATTTTTGGGGGAAAAATTGATTTTTGAATAGTAATATGATGGAAAATGTGTGGTTGAAAAAGAAGAAAAAATTATTGATGTGACAGAAAATATTATTTTATTGAATAATGTGTAATTGAAAATGAAAATTGATTTACCGTGAAATTTGAGAATCCCAAACAAACACCCCATATAAGTATACATATAAATTAAGGAGTATATTTTTATTGTACAAAAAAATTCTTAGACAGAAAATTTAGCGCATGTTAATTAAATATTGTCAAAAAAAAAAAAAA